AGGCGATGGAGGCTTTTCATCGACGACATCCATCAAAATCAAGATGAAAATCTTCCTTATAAAAGAATCAAGATCTAAGCAAGATAACATTCTACTTTCAATCTTTGTTTGTAGCTTCTTTATAGTTGTGACATTGAAGAGATGGAGAATCAACAATCAGCAGATTTGGCTCAAGAGCCTTTATTTCTTGACCTATCGAATGAGACATTACAATTGTCACAACCTTCAAGAAGATGCAATCAAGATGAAGATCTTCAAGAACAACATGTTCTTCCTTGAATAGATTACGAAATACAACACGTTTAGTATCACGACCTTGGAAGGGACTCTCGATGTTTGGTGATTTTACTAGAAGTAGGAACAACTTCTGATGGTGTTTCAGATATTTTATTTGAATGAAGTTATGAAGTTATGAAGGTTAGAATGATCTAATAATTGGGTAGTCTTCCTACCCTGGTATGGGACACTATCAATGGTTTAGAGGCCTTATCAATCATTTTTGAGGAGAACAAAGATCAGAGTATGTTGCAAATATAATTTTTTCCCATCATAGATTTCCTCAACATATGATGACCACTCTTCGTTGAATTCGTTTCTAGAAGGGGAGGTAATGACAGAGACATACTCATATAAGCCAGTTATTACATATATAAATATGTAGAAGTAAGTAAAAGTAGATAAAAGTAAGTTAATTCTATAGTATTTGATATAGAAGCTTCTTAGAAGCTTCATAGACACTGCTTTGACTTTATAGGTATTTTTAATTGATTTTTTGGATTAAAAACGTAGTCAACAAGTTGGCCATGTGCCACACATGTTGTTAGCTTGAAGACCAAGCTAACTATGTGGCCCACACGTAAAAAAACTTGCCTTGTAAGTCAAGGCATGTGTCCTACAAAGTCAACACATATTGAAGGTCTTATAGAACTTTGCCACATAATCCTTAGTTAGATAGTATATATAGAGACAAGAGTGAAGCCTTCTTCACTCTTGTCAACTTCTTTCTTATTTCTACTCTAATTTCAAGGGTCTCTAGTTTTCTTGACTTTTTGGCAATAGCCATTCCAGTTTCTTTCTTAATATATATATCAAGTCATTTCTATTTTTTCATCTTTCTTTGAGAGAAGTCTCACTCGTTTGTTTGTCTTTATCATGTTCTTGTCCTTGACACAATGAATAATTATCTTGAAGCTAGAGCATTTTCACCTTGAAGCAATAAAATCAATATTGATTTTTGATTCAATTTTTGTCAAAAAAATTCAATCAAGTATGCCATCTGATTCTCTTATCTATGATATGAAGAATAATTATTCTAGGTCTCATGATACTTTAAAGTTTGAGTTCAAAAACAACCTACTCTATTTCAAAGAATAATTGTATATTTCAAAAATTAGGACATTATTACATATTCTTCAAACTTGTGATGACTTTCTAATAGTCAAATATTTTGGATACAACAAGACTTTGAAGAAAATATTGAAAGATTTTTGGTGGCCTCAAATGTGGAAGGCAATTAAAGACTTTATACAATCATGTTATATTTGTTCAAGATCCAAAATGCCTTGCCATCAACCTTATGAACTTCTTTAGCCATTACCTATTCTAGAATAAGCATGGTCTTTTATTTCTATAGATTTTATCATTGATCTTCCAATCTTAGGTTTGTATGATTCTATATTTGTGATACTAGATTGTTTTATCAAAATAGAATATTTTGACCATGTACAAAATTTATTATAGGTGAAAAAATGGCTAAGCTTTTTCTTAACAACATCTATCGCTATCATGAATTACCTAAAGATATTATATCAGATAAAGGGGCTTAATTTATATCATGATTTTAGAAAATTCTTTTTAAAATTTTAAAGGTTGATATAAAGTTCTATTTTGCTTTTCATCCTAAAACAGATGGATAAATAAAATGGGTGAATCAAATTTAGGAGTAGTACTTGAAATATACCATTAACTATCATCAAGATGATTGGATATCTCTTTTAATATTAATAGAATTTACATACAATAATTCAATATATTCTTCTATTCAACAAATAGCTTTCTTTGCCAATTATGGCTATCATCTACAACTTGATACTTTTGACTTTTCAAAAGTTGATAATCCTGCAATGAAAGATTTGGCAAATTTTTGTCAAAGCATGTAACAATGTAATAATGTAACAATGTAATAATGTAGGTACAATTAAAAAGAGCTCAAAACAACAAAAAATTAATGTAAATTTATATTCCAACGAACAACCACAATTCAACCTAGATGATAAGGAGAGACTCCCAATGTTTGGTGATTTTATGAGAGGTAGGAACAATTCTTGACAGTGTTCAAAATATTTTATTTGAAAGAAGTAACATGATTGTCTTCTTCTCTTAGTATGGAACACTATCGATGGCTAAAAAGACCTATCAACTATTTTCAAAGAAAACAAAGAGTAGAGTATGTAGCAAATATAATTTTCTGCATCTTAAATTTCATCAACATATGATAATCACTCTTCGTAGAACTCATTCCTAGAAAGGAAGATAATATCACGGATATATATACGTACTCTAATAAATACCTATATGATTAAATATAAATAAATAGAAATAAATAAAAATATATTAATTTCATAATATCTTCTAGAAAAGTTTCTTAGAAGCTTTATAGAAGCTGCTTTGACCTTACATATGTTTGTAATTAATTAATAGCTTAGAAACTTGATCAACAAATTAACAATGTGCTGTTAGCTTGTAAAATAAATTAACTATATGGTGTACATATAAAAAACTTGCCTTGCAAGTTAAGATACGTGTCTTACAAAGTCTTCACATTTTGGAGGTTTTATATGACATCGCCACGTAGTTCCTAGTTAAGAGTATATATGGAGGCAAGAGTGAAGCCTTCTTCACTCTTGTCAATATCTTTTTAGTCCTTAATCTTGTTTCAAGACTTTCTAGTCTTCTTGTTTTTGGCAATAGCCATTCTAGTTCAATATTATATCATCTTTGAATGACTTTTTAATTCTTTTTAGTGACACAAAGAGTATATTGAGGATTTTCGTTCTTCAAGATTCATGTCCTTAACAATCACATGCAATAGCTTAAGAAATAAGTTTTTCCAATGAATCTACCTTCAACAATTTTAAGATTAAATTTCTGACAATATATTTCAATCCATATTGAAATTAATTGATGAAGGCTTTGTCATTGTAATCCACATTGTAAGCAAGATTTTGAAATTTAGTAACATTTATGGTGGTTGAATGTGATCCTTGTCGTAGAGATATAAACTTGATTTTTGCTACCCTTTCTTAATCACTTTCTCCAAATGTAGCCATAAATACTTCTAAGAATGAATTCTAATCATAGAATAGTCTTGAATCTTTTTCCATCAAAGGTACAAATCAAGAAAGAGTACTCCAAAAGAGAAGTATTCTTATGAATTCCTCTTGAATAAATCCATAAGGGTATTAAGGCATCAAAACCTACAAAAACACACCTCTTATTAAAACATCTTGTTGCCATGTTGAAGATTCTTAAAACTTAGGATTCAAAAACAACCAATAAATTTCTTAATAATATTTTAGTAATTTGGTTTCCATCTCTTTTATAAAACCATCATATTATTTTATTATTTTACACATATTATGTTCATCATATTTGAAGCATTATGTGAATGTTTTTTCCTAGTATATTTTCAATTTACTATAGAAAGCCATTTCAATTTTTATTTTTATTTTTTTAAAAGACCCCAATAAGAAGAGTAAACGGATGAGAGCAGACATTCATCCGTCTTCATTAACGTGATGAGCATGAGGACAATTCACACACACCTACTGATGGATGCACATGACCAACGACTGGATGAACCCTCACGTTCGTTCCCAACTCCTTGACAACGAATGAAAAGAAGAAACTGCACATTCATCCATGTAGCCACTCATCCCAATAGAAAAATACGGTGGGTTGATTTCACACGAGGCTTAGACGGACCAGGCAGAGGAAAGCAGCTTCAAAGCAACGTTTCATAAAGAACGGGGAACTCCATGGGGAACGATAGAACCTTCGTTTGTGCGGGAATATCATCCATCCATTTCCTGGTGCCGGTTTTCATTCATCTTGGGCGGTGGAGCTGCAGTTCACTGGAGAGCACTAGCTCTGTCAGTGCCGCGAGCGACGCGTCTCAGCCCAGGATGTTACGTGGGTGATATTTATCTAGCGACTACGGGATACCGATAATTCGACGGCACCGGCGTCGAATTGACTCGGTCAAAAGTGGAAAGCATACAGCCTCTTGATTAGGTCGACAGCCTTTACAAATCCTTTGCTTTTTCAAGTCATTATAACAAATTTGGCATCGTTTCGAATGCGGTGGATGGTGAGACGATTGTCGAGGAAAATAAGCTGCAATCTGTGATGATGATGATTCCTGAGTGGACTTGATGCATGGGGTGCTGATTTTTCTACCCATTTGTTACAGAAAAAAACTGCTGGTGCAGCGGCGTTTCCACATTCATTTTTCAGTGGGGTATGAGCACAGTCACTCGTATGCCGCGTCTTCGCGTTCACAAGTCCGCAGTTACCACCGGATGGGCACGCCCTTTAATGATATCTGTTTGTGCTTATCCGCAGTCAGATGGTATAAAATACATGACAAATATAGAATGTACTGTATTTTGAGGTGTTTATTGTACAGGTACGGCGCACCGACCGTGTATTCTTCAGGCGATGGTTATCACTCCCGCGACCGTACTCATTGCCACCGATCGGGCTATAGCCAATGTAACTCAAGATGGGAATCAAGATCATTGTGGAAGAGATTCACCCGTGATGCAGGACTACTCTTTAGACCCCAGTACCGAGTGTCGATCATGGACTGGCTGAGAAACAGTTTCTAAATAAATAATTGCTGATTGTCGATTGCCACTTGGCAGCCTGAACCTAATCTGCCACGCACCCAGTGTCGACACATCACACCCCTCTCTCACGTATAAGTACACCCTCCGCATTCAAGTTTGCATGATCAATTTTCAAGACACGCTCATTTGTTTCATTGCAATCGTCGTTAAGTCAAGTATTCAGTTTTTCTTCTAGAGACATTTTTGTTTGTGTAGACAGCCATGGACAAGATCAAGGACATGTTGCACGGTCACAAGAAGGACGACGAGCACGCTCATGCCACCCCAGCCACCGCCACCACCACCAACGTCGGTACCGCTGAAGCTGGCTACTCCGATCCCGCTACAACCCATCACGAGGAGGGAAAAGAGAAGAAGGGCTTCCTCGGACTTGGTGGCCACAAGAAGGTACTGTCACTTCACATCTCGTTCATTATGTATTCCACTTTTGCAATAGTGGACGGTTCCGACATGGATTACTCGTTGTCTATCATGTGCACGCCCACGTTTATGTTGTTTTTCAATGGTTTGAATAGTGATGCAATGTCGAGGATCCCGTGATTCTAACTCGAGTTACAATGGGTCGTGTTAACAGGAAGGCGAGGAAGGAAAGAAGCATGGGTTCATGGGTATGGGAGGCGGCTCCAGCTCCAGCTCTTCCTCTGATGAGGAACGCGAAGGTGCGGCAGAGCGAAACCGGCTCCGCCGTGAGAAGCGTGCGCAGCGTACTGCGGGCAAAACAGCTGCCGGCACCGTACCTGTAGAAGGCACTGGCGAGAAGAAGCACGGCTTCTTTGGCTAAGCGCCGATTGTGTATAACTCACGACCTTAACATCCTTCTGAGGAGCGTGCGATCCAGATCGAAGGAGGCAGTCACAGTTACGAACTTTATATGAAAAAGCTTCCGGATCCTATGTGTAGTAATAATTCTCTGTGTACACTGTCGATTATGTGGTTTATATAGCAAGAGGTTTTTCGTGTTACCACGTGTACTGGGTTCCTTTTCTTTTCGGTGTTATAAATGAATCCGCAGCAAACGGAATGTTGCTGTAGAGTATGTGCCGTTCCATTTTCGCTTGATGCATCTTTGGTCGTTATCCTCTGTCGGTTGTATGTGCACGATGCTTCATCTCGAGTCAGTTTATCATTTTGAGTTGGTGCCATTGCTTTATGTATCATTTTCCTAGTCAATATGTGATGTCAGTTACATTAGCTTGGTGCTTCATGTTCACTTCTGTGATCTACTGTCGGTGATATGTATATGGATCTTGTAATATAAATTGTGAACGATGATCGATTTCGGTGATAAACAAAGAATTTCTCGAAACAGAGCCTTTTAGATTGCATCACCGACATTTGGATATCACAACAGTTGCAAGTACTGAACTCCAACGATCAATGAGCAAAATTTGCACCTGGATAAACACATGATTACTGCTGTTTGCATGTTTGTGTAATGACGAAAACTTGTAATCAAATCACATACACAGGTTATGCTTATTAAATAATTTGGAGATTTTTGAAATTTAATCGCAAATGACCACCCATGTGGAATTTCTGGTACAAATAATACTACTGAATTGATACTACTTGTGCACACAGACAAATATTTTACCATACAACTGAAGTACTCAGAACTGAGATCTAATAATTCATTCCGAAATAAAAGAATATATGTATTTTTTTCGATATTTTTAAAATTTAATCACTCATTCAATTGTAGGAAGTAATGAAATTTCTCCAAGATGTGCAATTTAAATCATAAAAGATGTTGAATTCAATGATTTTCTGTATGGTTTCATTTTAAAATTAGCATATAATAAAATCTAACTCACCAAATTATCACTTTCCATCTATTTTTGTATTTGCTCAAATCAGTATATATATCATGAAATCAACCAAAACATGTAATTTTTTAATTATATACATAAATACACCAAAGGATATATAGATGTAATACAATATTACATGTAAATATCTAATTTTGTTTAGACATGTGAACCATTTAGTTCTAAAAAAAAAACATGACCCCATCATTTTAAAAATATACATATAAACATTTATATGTGTGTGTAAGTTTTGATTAATATTTCTAGAAGAATAAATAGAAGTAAAATTACAACCATTTTTACACATATAAATTATTTTTATTCAGTTTTGATTACCTTAAAGTTCGTCCTCTTTATTTTGAAAGATTGTTAAAAAATAATTAAAAAAAAATCTTATTATTTATATATCTATTTATAGTATTCAATGAAAAATGTAAATAATATTTGTGATGATATTTATTTTGTATTATAGAATAATTAAAATATAATTTATACATGCATCATAATTATTATTTATTTCATGACTTATTAACATCAAATCAAAAAATATTAGGATTTCATTTATTTTAAAATCTATAATTTATCTTTGTCTTCTTAGTTAATACTAAATTTTTTTTATAGTTATTATTTTTTTACTTTCAAGATAATAATATATTGATTCGATTTATTTATTTATTTTCTTCTTTCTTCAATACTATATTTCAAGGTGTTTATTTTTTATTGGATGGGTAAATATAAAATTGGCTTGTACAAATTCAATTAAGAACAAAAGATGTAGTAAGTGAGGTGAAAAAAATAAAAAATATTGACGTGTATAGTACAAATATTTGTACCACAAACATTGCCTTTTATCTAGCAAAATTGTATCTAACAAACATTTGTCTCCAGAATATATAATAATTATATTTTAAGAAAATAATTAAATTAATAAATTCACAAAGTAAAGATTCTTTTACATTAACACATTAAAATTTTTAAAGTAAAAATAAAATTTGAACTTTTTTATGATAAATTATATAATTTTTTTTTTCTTTTTTTTTCTTTTTATATAATAGATTAAATATATGCATTAGATTTATAAGAATATATTTCTGTACAAGTGAATTAAAATAGATCTTTCATAATTTTATAAATATCAGATATTTTCACTTGAAATATTGTTTAAATAAATAGCAAGTCTTAATTGGTTGTATATGTGTTGAGAATGTTTAGAGAGATACAAGAATAGTAGTAAGTAATACACACATACAAGAGTTGTAGTAAGTCATATACACAAGAAGGTTTCTAAGGAGAGAGAGCTTGGCATATAAAAATCTATTAATTTGGTTGTATATCAAGGAGAAGAACATGATAAAAACAAATAAACAAGTGAGACTTCTCTCAAAGAAAGATGACAAAATAGAAATAACTTGATATGTATATTAAGAAAGAAATTGGAATGGCTATTGCCAAAAGCCAAGAAAACTAGAGACCCTTGAAACTAGATTGGAAATAAGAAAGAAGTTGACAAGAGTGATGAAGGCTTCACTCTTGTCTCTATATATACTATCTTACTAGGGGCTACGTGGCGACATTCTATAGGACCTTCAATATGTGTTGACTTTGTAGGACATATGCCTTGACTTACAAGGCAAGTTTTTCTACGTGTGTCAAGGACAAGAACTCGATGAAAGCTAAAGAGTAAGTGAGACTTTTCTCAAAAAGAAATAGGACAAAATAGAAATATGTATATTAAGAAAGAAACTGGAATGGCTATTGCCAAAATACAAGAAAACTAGAGACCCTTGAAACTAGACTAGAAGCAAGAAAGGAGTTGACAAGAGTGAAGAGGGCTTCACTCTTGCCTCTATATATACTATCTAACTAGAAGCCACGTGGCGATGTTCTATAAGACCTCCAATATATGTTGACTTTCTAGGCCACATGCCTTTGCTTGCAAGGCAAGTTTTCTATGGATGGACCACGTAGTTAGCTTGTTCTTTAAGCTTCCAACATGTGTGGCACATGGCTAACTTGTTGACCAAGTTTCTAACCTAAAAGTCAACTATAGACTCCTATAAAGTCAAAGCAGTGTCTATGAAGCTTCTAAGAAGCTTCTCTAGAAGATATTACACAATTAACCTACTTTTATCTACTTTTACATACTTTTATCTATTCATATAGGTAATTATATGTATGTCCGTGACATTACCCCCCCTTCTAGGGACGAGTTCCACGAGGAGCGGTGATTATATATTGAGAAAATCTAATATGCGGCGAATTGTATTTGCTACATACTCTGATCTTTGTTCTCTTCGAAGATAGTTGATGGGTCCTCTTAGCCATCGATAGTGTCCCATTCCAGGGCGAGAAGACCACCCTGTTATTTGATCACTGTTGAGGCCTTCATAACTTCCTTCAAATAATACACCATCAGGAGTCGTTCCTATCTCCAATAATATCACCAAACATCGAGAATCTCTTCCAAGGTCGTGATACCAAACGCGTTGTATCTCACCATCTATTCGAGGAAGAACATGTCGTTCTTGAAGATCTTCATCTCGGTTGCGTCGTCTTGAAGGTTGTGACAATCGCAATGTCTCATCCGGTAAGTCAGCAAACGAAGGTTCTTGAGTTGAATCCGCTAGTTGTTGGCTCTCCATCTAATTAGCGTCACAAATGCAAAGAAGTTACAAACAAGGATAGGAATTTGAATGTTATCTTGCCTCAATCTTGTCTCTTTTATAAGAGAGGTTTTCATCTTGGTTTTGATGGATGTCGTTGATGAAAAACTTTGACTTTAGCTGATGCATTTGCTAGATTCCTGGATGGCTCCCATGTGCGCTCACTAATATCATATCCGCGCCAATGAACAAGATATTCTAGCTTATTTCGGCACCGCCTTGAGTCTAATATCTCTTCCACCTCAAATTCTTCATTATTATCTACTTCTATAGGAGGCGGTGGCATTTGTCTTCTTCCTTGTATATCCACTGTCTTATATGGTTCAAGAAGAGACACGTGGAATACAGGATGGGTCTTCATTGACTCCGGTAGATGTAACCGATATGCAACTGGGTTGATCTGTTCAGAAACAGAAAAGGGGCCAAGCCTACGATAGTCCAATTTGTCACAAGGTCGAGTGGTCTTGATATTGCGACGAAGTAGCCATACCTTATCACCCACGTTGAGTTGTGGTTGCTCTTTACGATATACATCTGCATTTATCTTTTGTCGTTCTTGAGCTTTCTTCAACTGCGCCTTCATTATTGCATGTAACTCTGACAACCGATTTGCCATATCTTCTGCTGCAGGATTATCAACTTTTGAAAAATCAAAAGTATCAAGTCGTGGATGATAGCCATAATTGGCAAAGAAAGGTGTTTGTTGCGTGGAGGAATGTACCGTATTATTATAAGCAAACTCTGCCAATGGCAGAAGGTTTGTCCAATCATCTTGTTGGTAGTTGATGGTACACCTTAAATACTGTTCCAAGACTTGGTTTACGCGCTCTGTTTGTCCATCAGTTTGAGGATGGAAAGCTGAAGATAGCTTTATGTCCACTTTTAAAATCTTGAAAAGAGTCCTCCAAAATCTCGACACAAATTGAGTTCCCCTATCCGATATGATATCTTTAGGCAATCCATGATAGCGATAGATATTATCAATGAAAAGCTTAGCTGTTTCTTCACCTGTGATAGATTTTGTACATGGCATAAAATGTGCCATCTTGGTGAAACGATCTACTATCACAAATATAGAATCATAAGATCTTGAGTTTGGAAGATCTGTGATGAAATCCATAGAAACAGAAGACCATGGTTGTTCTGGTATAGGTAATGGCTGAAGAAGTCCGTAAGGTCGATGTCGAGGAATTTTTGATCTTGAACAAATATCACATGATTGTACAAAGTCTTTGACTGACTTCCACATTTGTGGCCACCAAAAATCTCTTGATATGAGTTCCAAAGTCTTATTATATCCAAAGTGTCCTGCTGCTGGAAAGTCATGACGTGCTTGAAGAACACGCAAACGTGCTTTTCCTTCTGGAACATATAGGCGTCCTTCAAAATATAATAGATTATTCTTGAACTCGAACTTAGAAGAATCATGAGACTTGGAAGAATTATTCTCGATATCATGAACAAGAGGGTCTGAGGACATACTGGACTGGATTTGCTTGAGAAAAGTTGAATCAACAGTCAATGTTGATTTCACTGCTCGGAGATGAAATTGCTCCGGTTTCAAGAGGACCGTTCTTTGTT